TCTAATCAACTTGGGTCAGGACTCTATCTAGTCCTGTACGTGATTTTTGATATAAAATCAAAAACCATGTTCGCAAGCATAAAAGATCATAAATTCAGGACATATTTACAAGCAAATGAATTTAAAAGAACGTAATAGCGGCTAGCTCTCTGGTTCAGGCTTCCAACCCACACGTTATTGGGCCTTGCATCGGATCTGTTGCCATTAATCTAACTTCTGAATCTTTGGCCCGAGAGTATAAAATAAGGAGGGGCACTACAGGCACACCATCAACCACACCATCAACCACACATCCTCTCCTGCTACAGTTCAGCGGGCCCGAGAATATAAAATAAGGAGGGGCACTACAGGCACACCATCAACTACACCATCAACCACACCTCCTCTCCTGCTACAGTGCAGTGGGCCCCATATAAAATTTTTTAAAAAAAATTTCATATGGGGGCCGATGCACTGTAGCAGGAGAGGAGATGTGGTTGATGGTGTAGTTGATGGTGTGTCTATATCATTTTCCTAAAATAAGAACTTTTTGTCGGGTGCCAACCCTCCCCCCTAAAAACTACCTTAAAAGTAAGACAATTATATAAAAAAATTCAGTTTATACAAAAACTAGCTTTAAAGTGGGTGTGTTGTAGTTAATAATCTCCTAGTCAATTTTTTACTAAAAAAGTAAAAAAATTACCTCAAAAAAAAAAATTTCCCGGTCAAGTTACATGAGATGCGTCCTAACTAAAACATTAACAAAATGAGTTACAGGCTTCTTTGAGTCTTAGTTTTTTAAGGATGTTTTCGAGTTTTAAGCGTGAAAAAGTTTACTTGGAGGTGGTTGATTGTAACATAAACCCGCTCTAATTTTATGTAGTATAAACCGGCAACGAAAGTGGTTTCTATATAATTACCTCAGTTTTAAGGCGGTTTCTCGAGGAAAAAAAAATCTTCTTTATGATTAGTGATAACTACACTATTTCTACGCTATAAGAGATGAATGTGTGAGGCGTGATCTCTTTAGCTTTTTTTTTTTCAAAGTTATGACTCATCAAGGGATCGAGTTCACATTTTTTTCTGTTTTGCATTGTAGGAGAAATGAGAATCTTTTATACGATCGGAGCTTAGGCTGAATGTCGGTCCAATGTGCTGACGTCCCCATCCACTGGCCGCGTACAAGACGAAGAACCACTCTATGCTTTGTCTTCATCTGTTTGGTTCACAATTGTTTATGCTAAATTCATACTCTTTTGGTTAGATTTTAGATTAGGAAAATGATAGGGGCACACCGTCAACCACAACCTTAACCATACTCCCTCTCTCATTTGCTACAGTGCACCAGGCCTCATATTGGATTTTAAATTTTTAAAATCCAATGCGAGACCTGGTGCACTGTAACAAATGAGAGGGAGTGTGGTTGAGGTTGTGGTTGGGGGTGTGCCCCTAGTACCACCCTTTAGATTATATCAGGGTCGAGGTTGCAACGCCTAAGATCACTACATCATCATCAACAAAGACACCAACCAACTCCCGCACCCACGTAAGAGAATGTCACCCTTTTTTTGGAAATTAAATAAACCATCCCATGGAATTACTGATACAAAATCAGACGCCTACTCTAGAATATAAAATTAAAATAGACTAAGTAGTCGGTATTTTTCATATGTCCAACATTTAGTTAATTTATCTAGACTGATAAAAAAAAGTTTATGTTATGAAAGAACTCAGTAGAGGTTTTTTTTAGTTAATTTCAATGCTATATATGCCTCAGCATATTCCATAACTTTGTTATCGTTATCATAGATCACAAACATAAATTAGAAAGAAAAGATCTGATGTTAATAATGATATTTGATCTCATAGTTTTGATGAAAAGTAGTTAGGCGAAGTTGCACTAAAATACCTTATGTTTCACTAATTTAGCATTTATATACCTCAAATGGTTTTAAAAGTATTTATATACCCAGAGTTGTTTACAATTAGCAATTTAGAACCTTCTGTTATGCAAATGTGAAAATTTTCATCCTTCTTCTATAACATTCATATAATTTTATAACTTTTTAATTATTAAATTTAATGATTTTACTGTTAAGTCTATGTAAGTTTTATTTTTTTAATAGAATCAGAATATATTTAAGTTAAAATTTGGATAGGATTAATAGAACATTTAATAAATAATAATGATTAAAAAGCTCTCAAATTAATATATCAATGTCATATGGAACTTCCGCGTGAAATTTTTTATGTTTGTATTGTTGATGACTAAAATCACACAGTCAATCGGATCTAGGCCGGGATCAGTGCGGATCCGGAACGAGATCGGTTTCTCTGGGGTCCTCGTCGGGATGAGGTAGAGGAGGTTGATGAAGGGGTCGCCTACTTCTCCGACCTTATACCTGGTTCTTGAATGAGGGTTTGATGGTCATACTGCACAGACAAGAAGAAAAAAAACCCATGAGAGGGCGGGGACGATTCCCCCGTGGTTCCTTCGACAGTCAAGTCAGCCGACGAGCTTGAGTGGGGAAGGGGAAGGTCTAGAAAACCGGTGTGGTTCTTATGTGCAGTCTGCTCTTCTAAGAGAAGAGGGGGGGAGCTTTTGTGAGCTGGTCTCCATGTGTGCAGAGTGTTTTTTTTGAGTGATAGGGTCCGAGAGAGAGTCCATAGCCCCCTAGGTTAGGAGCATACCTCTCTATATAACGATGATGAGGGTAAATGTATCACCCCTTGCCAAGCATAGGGAGGCGGTGACAAAGTGTGAGCTAAGAGCTGAGTCATCCCTCGCTTGACAGGTGTCGGTTGGCGACTGGAAGGGAAGTCACTTCGGTACTGGAGAGGGGGTCTCCGTATTTTTCGAGAAGTGATTAAGAGTGTGACAAAAGACACGTTGGAGGCTAAGTCATCCCTCGCTTGACAGGTGTCGGTTGACGGCTGGAGGGGAAGTCACTTCGGTACGGGAGAGGGGTGTAGGGTCTGAGTCTGATTTTGCTTATGTATACCAAGTGTAGGATCGTGACCCTTAAGAATAGAGTGCGCTCTTATAAAAATCTGCGGAAGCTTTACACTTAAACATTAGAGTGTGAGTTTGCAAAGTAGATTATAAATTGCAAAGAAAAAATGACAATCTCAGAAAATAAACATCACAAACACAAGCATGTATACTGGTTCCACCTCCCCGGTGTACATCCAGTCCCCAAGTGAATCCCGCTTGAGAGTTTCCACTATGATTTTAAAATCTTACAAAATCAAAAAGCAAACCTGACCAATTTGTAAGACCATGCAAATTGCAACCCAATTGACAAGACCATGCCAATCGTCACACCGATCTCTAGACCAAGAGATCAACCCTCTCAAACCTGAGAGAACCTTCTTTGAATCAATGTACAATTCCAATCCTATAAGCCTTGATGTGGATGTGAACGTGTAACAGTGGCTTATCAATCTTTTTAACTCTCTGAATATTGTCTAAACAAGCTCTAAGAATGATAGGAACAAAGGCAATATCAGAAACTCTCTTTTATAGAAAAACAGATTGAAAAACTGAAAGTTTAGAGAGTTAATTTGCACAATATGTGAATCTTATAAGTGCAAAACTTGGTTGTTGTTTTCTGATGTTTAAACCTATTTATAGCCTCTGAAATGACATAATTTTAAACCCAATTAACGTCCACAAAACGGCTATAAACAGTCACTTATTTAAAACCTAAAATCTAGAAAAACTGCATCTGTAGTCGACTACAAGTCATAGTAGTCGACTACACTGAGTCTAAACAGACTCTGTGAAGTCAGAAAATTGCTTAGTAGTCGACTACAAGGCATAGTAGTCGACTACACTGTAAACTCAGATTCTGGAATTTTTCTTTTTAGTATTTTGACTGTAACTTTCTCATCCGATATCGGAATGAGGTGATTTAAGATTTGTTGGAAAGCTATTAAAGAGACCTACAACTTTGATCTTTTGAGTTTTTCCAGATTCTAATTGATAAGAGGTATAAATAAAATGTTTTAAGACTCACTCAATATCTATAAACTCTAATGGCTAACATAGGAGATTTCTATTGTTAACCAACACACTAAGCATATGTTAGTGTATTATAACACTATGTGTGTGTGCATGTGTGTGAGTGATCAAGGTTTGTAAAAATTTCTAAGCAAAGAAAATATAAAATTATATTTAGACAATAAAGTATATCTTATTCTTTGCTTCATTTTGCCTTGAACTCATCTATGTCTTGAGTATCTCTTTGAATATAATTGTTGATATAGCTCTGATACTGCAAAATAAATATTAGCACATAATACACACAACATATAATATTTATTATCATCAAAATAAACTAATCTTGGGGTCAAGATTCCTAACAATGGGGTCTTCGTATTTTCCAGGAAGTGATTTAGAGTGTGGCAGAAAGCACGTGAGTCTATGTACTCTAGGGAAGAGGCTTGAGGCGGAGGTTATTCCTCAACTTAGTCGACAGCAGAGAATGTCCATCAAGTCGTCTTCGTGAGTTGCCAAGTAAATGGTCGAGTAGACTCTTGGTGAGTCATCTTCGACAATAGGGTAGGCTGATTTCACCTTTCGTGTCGGCATAAAAGAATATCGACTTAACAAGTCAGCGGAGCCGAGGTCTCTGTTAGGTTTGGGCTACTAAGTTGGTTGAGGCAAGTTTGCTAAGGCTATGAGTGTATCATTTTGCAAATACCCATATCTTAGATGAGTAAACATCATAACATGTATAACACAGAATACTAAATTGCTAAATTTAAATAACTCAAAATATATTAATGCTACGAAAAATAAATGAGAATATATAAACGCTAAATGACTGAAATATATGGTATTTTAGTGCAATTTAGCCAAATAATTAACCAGATAAATATCCCATACTTTTTGAGTCACGTTATAGAGTCTGATGTGTGGGTCTTGAAAACCAACAGGCTGAGAACGTACAACCAAAAAATAATGGATGTGGAAAGTTTCCAGTTTTTTGTCCCCACGCGCTCCTCTAGTTTTCTCTCTTTTCTTCTTCAAGTCTCTCTCTCTCTCTCTCTTCATCACTCTTCTTCAAGTCTCTCTCTCTCTCTAAAAGTATGATGCTTCTTCAAGATGGCTACTCCAATGATCAAGGTGCCCCGGCGACTCTCGATCACTTCTCTTCTCAAAGAGATGTTGTCTACAGGTAATTAAAAAAAATATTTCTTTGATGAAGCTAAGAATTGGATTCTTGAGTTTTCTAAATTTTGCGTTTTTATGTATAAATCGAGTCCTTTTATTGAAACCCATGTGAGAAATGAAGAAAAGATTGGGTCTTGATCATGATAGGCTGTATTTAGCTTCTTGTTTTTCTTTTATTTGCTATTTGAGGAGGAAAAGTGTCTGTTTTCCTTCCAAAGCCAATTTTGGCACAAACTCTAGCATAGAGAACTGAGCTTGTTCTATTAGAAAGGGGGC